AGTTTTTGTCGATTCCAACTGATCATATATTTCTGATTCTAGAGACCAAAATTGTTTAGAATCCAAATTTGTGTGGGAAATAGCATTCAGTATGTCCACTTCTTTTTTTTATCTTTATAAAGTTGCTTGAGAACTGGTTGCTTATTCGGATTTCAATGGCTTGACCCTCGTAAAAATTGAGTTTTATAACCGGGTGCTATTTTCTGACATTGTTTAAGCTTTTCCTGTTTTAATCGATCGAATAATTGTGTCATCAACACAAAATTTCATTGTTATCAATTTTAATATCATCGTCATCTCCTCCCTCGTCTCCCCAAGGGTGACTGGGGAATAGAAGTATGGTCACCATTGGTCTTCCTCCGACCGGCGGTAAAACCCTCGTCAAAGTGGGGCGTCCGTTTGGCTGTGCGGGATGTACAAATTTGCAGCCACGTCCGGTCAGAATGGGGACGTTAAATCCGATGCCTCGTGTAAAGAGAGTGCCACGCTCTTTGCACGTTAAGAACCCTTGCAACAACTCTTTGAGGGGTCCGCAGGTGACCTGTTGCAAGGCTATATTTCTGTCCCTATCCAATATACCCTCATTTCCCGTGGCAGTCTAAATTTCTCCGACCTCAATCCCAGACGCCTCTATTACAGAACCTACCTATTGTATTTATTGTTAACTTGTTCTTGTCCTGAATATGCATGAAATATTTGCCACTGGACGTTAAGCAACCAATAATCAATCCTCCCTCGTCACTCTCCTTTTCCATATAAATACGGTTCAATTCATTATTTTCAAACTGCTCAATTTCCTGAAAAATTGTTGTTATTTCTTCTTCGGCTGGTAAATTTAAGGATCTTGACAATTCTGTATTCAATTTATCATGAACTATTCTTGGTACAATAGAAACATCTGTAACAGTGTGTTCAAATAATGTGAAACACGAATGAAAAACAGTTTCAATATTAAAATGTTCCACTAAGAGGTAATTAATTTTGCCTAAATGGAACCTGTTTCCTTCTAAAGGTAAAAGACAGTTGATTGTGTCAATTATTTCTTCACTCTGTTTACTTAAATAAAGTAAATACTTTTTTATTTCAATGTCAATATTAGTACTTTCTCCTTCTGCATGGTCAATCAAACATTTGGACTGAACAGCCTTTTGTTGGTTTTCAGAGATCTTTCTCGTTTCCAACTGATCATATATTTCTGATTCTAAAGACAGAAACTGTTTGGAATCCAAATTTGTGCGGGAAATAGCATTCAGTTTGTCCACTTCTTTTTTTATCTTTATAAAGTTGCTGGAGAACTGTTTGCTTATTCGGATTCCAATATCTTGACCCTCTGCAAAATTAATATAACAAATTAATTATATTTATTGGTTTAATGTAAATAGAAAGTTGTTAAGAAATGTATATGAAAACAATTCACACTGAAAAGCATGGTTATATGACACGTGATTCTGAATTTCGAAGGACTTATTTGTAGTTATCGAGAAAAATGCAACAAAAAATTCCTACATGGCTATTTACAAAAAGTTGCTGAGAGGTAAACCTTAAAATTTATCACATTGTATAGGTTGACTTATAAAGCTTGAATCAAAATCAGTTTATCCCCATTTATAAAAATTAGGGCTGTTCCATAAAACATAACAACCATTTTAAAGATTGTTATGAAATCCATTGAAAATTGAATTGAAATTATAAATTTGACTCTATGGGTGATTAATTAAGTTTTAAATTGTCTGCCCTTGGTACCATGTAAGTTTAAATGGAACAGCTCTTAAGTATATAATACTTGTTATACATTTTCATACCTGCATATTTCTTCAAGCTAGATAAATATTGCCTGTCAGTTGCAAGTTCCTTTAATTTAACTAGACAGGCGTTTTTTCTCTTTGTCTGAGCTGATTCTAAAAGCAGTTGTCCTTGATCTGAAGTAAGCTGAAGCTTGGTGAAATTTGTTTTTTTCTTCAACTTTGACCATATCTGATATTAACAAATCTTAATATACGCACAAAATAGACCTCGAGTATTCCAGCATTTTTTTACAAACTAAATTTGCAAGATAAGCACCAAATATCTTTACATTCTAGCACAAAACCACAATTCTAATCTTTTTTCTTATTTTTGTCTAAATCTAGACAGCACATTGTGACAACAAATATTTTAAAAATCTTTTAACATACTTTTGTCTATACTGATGTATTTCTAACAAATGCCTAATGAGAGAACACTTTATGACATTGGAAAACTGTTTAAATTTACTTGCAACGTTGGAGATTCATTTAATGTAGTCCGAGTGCATAGCATCTAAAGCATCACAAACATATTTTGCAGATAAACAGCTCTCAAGTTGCAGAACAGACAATAGCTCCATGAATCTGAGATCAAAGCCAATTTTAGGGCTTGTAGGTGAAGCTGGCCATAAGCTGTAACGCATAAAGGTGACTGCAGGATCTTCACATCTACATAGCTGGTTTTTTATATGTATGTTGTAAACCTGCAATATGAGAATAACATATTAAAGAAAGAAAAACTAGAGGCTCTAAAGAGTAGTAAATTCAGTTTCTTCCCCTTCCAAATATTTTCCATCTGTATAAAGTTAATTTCAACCAAGAAAAAGAGGATACTAAAGTAATCATACAAAAACCGTTTGTTTGGAACATTTATTTGGGGGGTCAGCATAAAAAATATTTACCCTTTACATCAACAGCATATATGGAAGTAGAGTATGATGATTCACAAATGTGGTCTTTCCTGGCAAGTTCATTTGTCATGTGAATAGGTACATACATGGTTTGCTGTAATAGAGGTAAAGTATGTATATAATTAAAGTATTAATGTATGATGTTAATATGATCATATATAAACCTGAAAGAAATATATTGATAGGACAAAGTTAGAGATTGAAAAAATTCTTTGGATCAATATACATTGTATCTTGTAGGCTGTTAAGAACAATCTCGTCTTTACAATTTTTCAATTAATTTCATGGTTTTTGTGTGTGTGTACATTTTAAGCATTTGAACATTCTTATTGAAAATAGTCAGTAATAATTTCTAAATTTTGAAAACTATCAACGATTTTATGAAATTCATTTGATAACCGCACAAAGCATTGCAAAGTATATCAGTTTTTAAACATTTCTAAAAGCTGCAATGTTGCTTTTCTATCCTGGTTTTCAGAAAAGTTTTAAAACTACATCTAAACACATGAACAAATGACATTAGTCTTAGATGCATGAATTTTGTTATAGTTGTTAGTGGCTTTGAACTAGCTGTCAGTAACTGCGAGTACTCTCAGATCTGTACTAAGTGTCTTTTTGTTGTTGGGATGTACAAGTACCCGGCAACGTCCACTTGTATTTGTAATTGTATCCACCTGATGAGTTAAGCCTTTTTCAACTGATTTTTATAGTTCGTTCTTACGTTGTACTGTTACACCACTGTCCCAGGTTAGGGGGAGGGTTGGGATCCTGCTAACATGTTTAACCCCGCCACATTCTACATGTATGTGCCTGTCCCAAGTCAAGAGCCTGTAATTCAGTGGTTATCGTTTGTTTATGTGTTACATATATGTTTTTCGTTCATTTTTTTACATAAATAAGGCTGTTAGTTTTCTCGTTTGAATTGTTTTACATTGTCATTTCAGGGCTTTTAATAGCTGACTATGTGGTATGGGCTTTGCTCATTGTTGAAGGCCGTACGGTGACCTATAGTTAATACTTTCTGTGTCATTTGGTCTCTTGTATGCTTGTGGAGAGTTGTCTCATTGGCAATCATACCACATCTTTTTTATATATATTGTGGCAATATGTTACCTTCCACTGGTGTGGCTTATGGAACAGGATGTTCTGATGTATCCTCTTACAGCAAGCATCACAATGCAGAGGGACCACAATCCTGACAAACTATGACATCATCAACAGTTGATTGACAAAAGCAACAAGAATGAGTTGCTGGGGACTGTTCCTCCAACCTGGTTTCAATGAGCTTGTATCTCAACAAGTCCCATTACCCTCTTCCTTTTTTCTGCGTAGGTAAGATTAGTTCTTGCAGGATTACTGTTCACATTCTCTGCAAAAACAATTAATTAATCATAATCATTGTAATTCGATCATTTACAAAGCAGGCAAATTAACAAGACAAATAAACGCAATTTTTATTACTCATACGGCCGCAGGTTTTTAATTTGTTGGTTTAACTTGAGGGAGCAGACACACCTGGCCAGTTTGCAGAAGAAGAAAAAACAAATAAAAAATGATTTTTTTTTTATTGCAGCAGACCTTCCTTACTGTAGTCTGATATTATATTCTTGTAAATATAAATTCTGTGAATCTAAATAATAGACCCCCGAGGGTGACTGGGGAATAGAAGTATGGTCACCATTGGTCTTCCTCCGACTGGCAGTAAAACCCGTGCTAAAGTGGGGCGTCCGTTTGGCTGTGCGGGATGTACAAATTTGCAGCCACGTCCGGTCAGAATGGGGACGTTAAATCCGATGCCTCGTGTAAAGAGAGTGCCACACTCTTTGCACGTTAAGAACCCTTGCAACAACTCTTTGAGGGGTCCGTAGGTGACCTGTTGCAAGGCTAAATTTCTGTCCCTATCCAATATACCCTCATTTCCCGTGGTATTCTAAATTTCTCCGACCTTAATCCCGGACGCCCCTATTACAGAACCTACCTATTGTATTTATTGTTAATTTGTTCTCGTCCTGAATATGCATGAAATATTTGCCACTGGACGTTAGGCAACCAACAATCAATCAATCCATTGTGATCGTGACTCTCTTTCATCATTGCTATCTTTTGTTTTCAGAATCGTTTTTTTTTTTCTTTTCAGGTGACTCCATACTTATATAACTGCCAATGTCATCTTTATTGACAGACTCATTTCAGGAACAAATTCATTGGAATTAGAGAAAAGCAAATCATTTTCTGAGTTAACGGAATCGACTGAAATATTTAAAAGATTTTGTAAGCTATCTGTAATATCAAAGATACGCTAAAACCTGAGTTACTATCTTTTATTGCAGACCTCCAGAGAGGGTAAAAAACTGAAAATATACAAAAATGAAATCTAATAAGCACAATGTTCACAAAATAATGGTACAATTAATATCAACAATGTTCTCCATACATTGAAAAATATGTCTATCTTATGAAACAACCAAAAAATGATCAAAAAGTGCCATAGAATTACATCTTAGATAACAAAATTATAACACGAAAAGCGTTCTATACACATACTGTTTTAAGAAAAAACGTACGCCGAAATATATGGCTCTATTGGCGTTCCATACAAAAAATATTTTGACAAACTGACGGAGTAATATCAAAAATCGAGAATTAAGAAGCTTAAATTGACTAGGACTGGTGTATAATAAAAGCAGGAATAAAAATAACCATCATATAAACATCGGAAAGCTTAATTTAACATGTAAAATACAAAATAAGTGTGACATGAGATATGACTCCTGAGAATCGTTTGAAATCACAATTAAATTCAAAAGGACTGACCTTAGACTTTAAATACGTATATCGGGCATACAAATGAAGGTTATAAACTACAGTATAACAAAAACTCACCCTGTGGAGGGTTGAATACCAAAGAAAAGTTTGTTTATCTTTGCCGTGTGGCAGACATCAAAAATAAAATTCGACATAATGACGGACAGATCCGTAATTTCCGGAGTGTGACATAACACTCCCCCTCTGATTTCAAATCTAAAATCACCAATTCATAAACAAATTTGAAAATAACATGAACAAATTATCAATGCAAAATGTAATAACTGTAATAAAATGTTCTGACTATCCGAAGGTTCAACGAGTTAAAATTATAATCATTAATCTGTTTCACTTTGTTTTAGTTCCACATGCTCTACCAACATTACTAGTTCGTTGATTGGTCTAACATAACTAACTGCTTTCCCATCACGCACAACACGAATTTGAACCTTTCTGACTTTCTGATCAAAACTAGAGAATGTCTTTTCAACAATTGCGACTGGCCAATAGTTGCGAGCACATTCACGGTCTCTTAAGAGTACTAAATCGCCTTCCTTCATATTACTGTATTCACGGGTCCATTTTTGTCGAGTTTGTAGACGGTTTAAATATTCGTTACGCCAGCGGTTCCAAAACTCTTCTGCTAGAACCTGAGTGTGCTTCCATAGAGATTTCAACATGTCTTTATTTCCGAATGTTGGAAACGATACATTGTCCTGATTTATTTTATGTGTGAGAAGCATTGCTGGACAAAGTACACATGGTGATTCTGGGTCAGCTGACACCGGAACCAAGGGTCTCGCATTTACAATTGCTGTTACCTCCGATAACAGGGTAGTAAGTACTTCATGAGTAAGAGTTTTTGAACCTTCTCGTAGTAACATAGAATCTAAAATCTTTCGTGAAACACCAATCATCCTTTCCCACACTCCTTCCATGTGGGAGGCGTGTGGAGGATTAAAAAGCCACAAGACGTCGTTGTTTGAGAGAAAACTTCTCACAGAGTCTTTTTCAACCAATTCAGTGATCATATTTAGCTCTTTTGAACTGCCAACAAAGTTTGTTCCCCTATCAGAACGGAACTGCTTAACTTCACCCCTTAAGGCAATGAAACGACGCAACGCATTTATACATGAAGCACTGCTGAGCTCCTCTATGACCTCTATATGAATTGCTCTGCTGACGAGGCATGTGAACATAAGTGCCCATCTTTTCTGATTAGCTGGTATGACACGAGTGCGTCTATATGCTATGGGCCATGGGCCAAAAGTGTCCAACACCGACGAATGTAAATGGCGGTGATGGTTTTAATCTGTCCTCAGGCAAATCTGCCATTTGCTGCCAACCGAAACAACCACGAAGCTTACGACATATCACACATTTATGAAGCACTGAAGAAACTAAACGACGACTGCCTAAAATCCAAACACCAGCTGTACGGATAGCACCATATGTGAGGCTTCTGCCTTGATGAGCCACTTTTTCATGGAAGTGTCGAACAATAAGTAATGATATATGGTGGTGTTTTGGTAAGATAATAGGATGTTTTGAAAGATCTGCACAATCTTTGTAATTTCGCAAGCGACCACCAACTCTTAAGGTGTCATCAACATCAAGTATGGGCGATAGTTGCGAGAGAGAACTGTTGTTATGCAACGATGTTCCCTGTCTGATATTGTCTATTTCGTTTCTATAATTTTCCATTTGAACCTCACGAATTATGAATTGTTGGGCTCGTTTCAAAGCATCTGGTTGTTTGTATGCATCTAAATGTTCAGGTTTATCGTTATGATGTGCCAGATTTCTAACAAGTTGTTTCAATAAGGAAATTGCTCTGACTAAAGTTCTCCATTCTGAAAATGTTGAGAATCTATGTGTTCCTAATTTATGTAGATTATTTCGATCTACAGTTTGTGTTTTAGCTACTTGCACATCTGGGCGAATCTCCTTGTCACTATCAGCATCAACCAACTGATGTGGACCATTATCTAAATTTCCAAGGGACACGTTATAAAGAAATACTGGTCCCTTCATCCATATACTATTCGATAACTCTGCAGGGTTAATTCCTCGTGTTGCGATATCTGCCGGATTATTTTCGGTTGAAACATGTCTCCATCTTTTTGGATCACTAGAGACTCGAATTCGTCGCACTCGGTTTCCAACGTATACATGAAACCTCTTTGACTCATTTGTCAAGTAACCCAACACTATTTTGCTGTCTGAGTAAAAGTACATTTCACTTTGATCTATACCTAAATGCTCGTTGACAAGATCAGATAATTCTGCCGCAAACACAGAGGCGCACAGTTCTAATCGAGGAATAGTATTCCCATGTGAAGGCGCAACCTTCGCCTTTCCCAATAAAAAACTAACTGTTACATGGTGTGAGTCAATTAATCTCAAATAAGCCACCGCACCTATTGCCTCTTTTGAAGCATCACAAAAGATATGAACTTCTTTGTTCGAAGCTTCTGCATAGAAGATGTCACTATACATACGCGGAATAAATCATTGCCCAAGATCAGGTAACGTATTAATCCACTGTTTCCATAGATGTAGGTAAGTATCAGGTAATGGGTCATCCCATTCAGTGTGTCCTAGTGAAGTCATCATATCACGTAAGAGAAGTTTACCACGAACTGAGACACGGGCTGTAAAGCCAATCGGATCAAAAAGAGAGTTGATCGTTGATAATACGCCACGCTTGCTAAATGGCTTGATGTCATGTGCTACTTGAAAGGTAAAACAGTCAGTGTTAATATCCCAAGCCATACCTAGGCTTCTTTGCAAAGGTAAACAGTCATTTTCAAATTTCAGATCTTTGAGATTTTTAGCCAGATCATCAACGGGAAACTGACTTGACAAATATTTGCTATTTGAGGCTATTTTATGTAACCTAAGATTACCACCCCTTAACAATGCGTTTTGTGTTCTCTTAACTAAATCAACAGCTGTCTCAACATTTTGACACGACAATAGACCATCGTCCACGTAAAAGTTGCGATCTACAAACTCCTTCACATCTTGATCAGCAGTTTCAGCAGATTTCCTAAGTCTATAAGTTGCCACTGACGGCGAGGGGCTGTTACCAAATACGTGAACAGTCATACGGTAATCAATCAATGGTTTTTCAATGTCATTTTCAGTATGCCAAATAAAACGAAGGTAATTACGATGCTCTTCACTGACTTTGAAATTATAGAACATCTGTTCGACGTCAGCAGTTACCGCTATAGCCTCTTTTCGAAAACGAAGCAAAATCCCTAACAGGCTGTTCGTGAGGTCTGGTCCCTTTAACAGAATGTTATTTAATGAATGACCATTACACACTGCGGATGCATCGAATACAACTCTGATACTGTCAGGTTTTGTGGGGTGATATATCCCAAACATAGGTAAGTACCAACATTCAGACGATATAGCCAATGGTGGCGCTATTTCAGCATGACCATTTTCGATGATTTTCTGCATGAATTGTATGACATGTTCTCGTTTTGTAGAATTAATTTACAAGCTGTAATCGAAAGATTTTGCTCTCTTTAAAGCTAATTGTTTGTTGTTTTCTAATATTGGCCGATGCTCACGGAAGGGCAATGGAGCAACCCAACAACCATCTGAATCTTTAACAAAACCTGAATTCATGATCCTCAGGAATGTATCGTCTTCGATTGATGATCCAATTTTTTCATCTTTGTCAGTTGTACGGAAAACATTCGTATCTATTAGTAATTCATTTTGACAAGGTTTAAGAAAAGTAGCACGGCCATTACTCAAAATGGTCGTCTTGTTCACATTTACGCAATCTAGAATGCCAGGCGGATGAGTTTTCCCGAGACACACTTCACCAATTATTGCCCACCCTAAAGGCAGCTTCTGTGCATATGGGAGGTTACCTTTGCCAAGACGCTGATCGAGTACATGGTGTACTGATATCAAATCTCTTCCTATCAAAAGATCAATCTGTGCATGCTCATCGATTTCAGGAATGTAAGGAGCAATGTCTACAAGATGAGGATACTGAATAGCCACATTAGGTGACGCTATTTCCTGTCTATTGTTCGGAATATCATTACATTCGATGATAGTTGGTAAATCAAACACACAAGACCCATCTAAAGTTTCTACCACGTATTCCCTAGCTAAACGTCCAGATGTTGTGAATTTTCCTGCACAAGACGACAAAACATATTCAGTTTCAGGTCCATTATCACAAAACAAATAAAAGAAGTTGGAAGTGGCCAATGACCTGTTACTTTGGTCATCTATTAAAGAATACATCATGCGTGATTGTTCGGGTTTTCCTTTTGGATACACTTTTACTAGCATTAGTTTTGAACATGACTTACTTGTGCCAGTTACTTGACCACATATTTGTGTGCATGCTGTCTTAACTTCTCCTGATTCATTCTCCCCCTCGTGAGATTCTGGGGGGTTGTTATTTTTAATACTCTCTATATCGGTATGTAAACCAGAAGGGTGTTCCCGACTCTGACAGACTGAACATTTCAAGAACTCTTTGCAGTCTCTTCTTAGATGGCGCTTAGGCCCACAACAGCGAAAACAAATTCCATTCTTTTTTAAGAACTCCCTTCGTTCTGAAATCGGTTTCATGCGAAAACCTCTGCAATCATTCAATAAGTGACTTGTTCCATGCACAGGACATACCAAGTCTGAACTTTTTACTTTATCTGCTAACGGTTTCAACACTGATGTTTCAGTACGTGCACAAGATAACTGATTTTTTGTGTTTCCATAACGATTGTTTGTTGCATTAGTAGTATTCTGTACTTTGATTTCTCGACAATCCTCGAAGAAAAAACTGGGGTCATTTTTCATTTTTGCCATCCTTTGCAAAAACTTGGTGAATACTGTGAATGGTGGATATACCAAGTGGTTTTGAATCTTATATCTGGTGGCCTCTGATGTCCACTTTTCTTGGATATTATATGGAAGTTTTGCTATAATAATATTTACGCCAGCCGATGAGTCATAAACACTAAAAATACTTCTATACATGTCATTCTCTTTAACTGCTTCTATTTCTGAAACTATATCAAAAAGCTCAAATAAACGTTTGTTGTCTTTATTACTTATTTTGGCAAAGTTATTGAGTTTCTTACGCAAAGCACTTTCTACAATTTCTGGACTTCCAAATCTGTCTTGAAGTCTAGCCCAAATCCTGGCTACACCTTGAGATGGGTTTCCTGCATTAGCTGCTCGAATGCTCGATGCTTGTTTGCAACTTTCGGGTCCCAACCATTTAACCAATAAGTCTATTTCTTCAGACGGAGTAACGTTTAATTCACGCATTACATTTGTAAAACTAGCTTTCCAAGCTAAGAAATATCCAGGCGTGTCATCATATTTACAGAGCCTTGATAATAACAAGTCTTTTTTTAACAATGAATTGAGTAAACTCCCTACATGCGTCTGTCTGAGTAAACGTGGCAGTAGGGATTTGACTTACTACTGCTGGTATAAACGTAGGTGCATCAACATTTAAATTTTGAGTTAAAGGCGTATTGTCATTTTGATCAGTTTGTTTTAGTATGAATTCTGCATTACGTCTTTGGATGTCTTCTTTATTTGGTTCTGAAATAGCACAATCGTCATCAAAATTCTCATTCAAGACTCTGAGTTCACATTCAGCTTCCTCTATATCACGTTTCACACTTAAAAGTTTCATGTCTGCTTGTATGGCTGTTTGTTTACGCATAAGTTCAACTTCTTCTTGTGCAAATTTTGCTCTGGTTTTTGCGGCTTCAACTTTGGCTCTTTGCCGAGAAAGATAAGAACTTCCTCTTGAACATCTAGATTTTCTATCGACACCAATATCTGACGGTTCTCTAAAAGCGTCCGGTGGTTGAATGATTTCTGATAATTGTTCAGTTTTAACTTTATGTAGCTCTTCCATATCAAAGGCTTGCAACATTGTTTCCAGATTATCTATTACTATAGAGGCTTTCTGTTGTATCGAACTAGCAATCATACTATGTGAAGCTCTCTCACGAGAACTTTCGTCACACCGTTGAGAAACCAAATAGTCGTCATATTTGCGAGAAATTTCTTCATATTCCTTTAAATGTTTCATTAGTTCTTGCTTGTAAGTACAAGCTAATGTTTTAGTCATCTGGGTGTGCTCATGTATATCTCCCATAATCATGTCTATATATCTGTGTTGAATTCGTAGTTTTGAAGTAAACTGTCTTACACTCTCCTCAAACACCAATTGTCCTTCTGGAGTAAGTCTATACGCCTCACGCAAAGTTCTTTCTGAGTCCATGTTTATTCTTCCCGATACCAAGGTTTTTTACTGTAATGTCAAAGATACGCTGAAACCTGAGTTACTATCTTTTATTGCAGACCTCCAGAGAGGGTAAAAAACTGAAAATATACAAAAATGAAATCTAATAAGCACAATGTTCACAATCAACAATGTTCACAAAATAATGGTACAATTAATATCAACAATGTTCTCCATACATTGAAAAATATGTCTATCTTATGAAACAACCAAAAAATGATCAAAAAGTGCCATAGAATTACATCTTAGATAACAAAATTATAACACGAAAAGCGTTCTATACACATACTGTTTTAAGAAAAAACGTACGCCGAAATATATGGCTCTATTGGCGTTCCATACCAAAAATATTTTGACAAACTGACGGAGTAATATCAAAAATCGAGAATTAAGAAGCTTAAATTGACTAGGACTGGTGTATAATAAAAGCAGGAATAAAAATAACCATCATATAAACATCGGAAAGCTTAATTTAACATGTAAAATACAAAATAAGTGTGACATGAGATATGACTCCTGAGAATCGTTTGAAATCACAATTAAATTCAAAAGGACTGACCTTAGACTTAAATACGTATATCGGACATACAAATGAAGGTTATAAACTACAGTATAACAAAAACTCACCCTGTGGAGGGTTGAATACCAAAGAAAAGTTTGTTTATCTTTGCCGTGTGGCAGACATCAAAAATAAAATTTTTTGAGGCATTGTGAAGATTATGCTGAGAAGAATTGTTATTGTCATCTGTGCTTTTAACCTTTGTGTTTTTACCATCTTCATTTTGTTCTGATGCATCAGTTTTTACATAAGTGTTGTCAGAGTCATGACTCTCAGTTTCAGGTATATTGTTCTCAAAATTAATATCATTATGAGCAGGTATGTCTGGTTCTTTAGTACTAGTAGTTGAATCAACCTTGATAATAACTTGGTTTAAAATGTGAAAGTAGTTTAAAGGGATCAACAAACATCTGATAATGGTGTTCTTGCACGATGATTGTACCTGCTGATAATGGTGTTCTTGCACGATGATTGTACCTGCTGATAATGGTGTTCTTGCACGATGATTGTACCTGTTGTTATAAAAAAATTGTGTTTGTACAATAATTTCCTTTGCCGTCCATGTATTGTATGTAGTTCTATGGAAATTAAGTTCCTGAAACTGTTTCGGTCTGTCCATTCAGGCGGTTCATATGCCCAAATCACACGGTACTCGGACTCATCCCTCCCAAGGTTTTCATAGTATGCATGTCCAATGACTTGATCCATGGTTGTATTATATGAATGTTTGTGTGGAAAGAAAGCATTTTAGCACTAGATTCTTAAATTGTTAGATCAAGTTTTTCATATAGAGATTCTTAGCTTTACCTGTCCGTTTATTGAATTTCGTTGGGAGGGAAGTGAGCGGATAATCCTGTATGGTTTTGTCCATTTGTAGATTGATTTTAAGATTTTCCATTGACAATTCTTTTGTAATTACAGTACCCCCCAAGGGTGACTGGGGAAACGAAGTATGGTCACTTGGTCTTCTCCCAACCGGCAGTAAAACGCTTGCCGAAGTGGGGCTGTGCGGGATGTATCAAGTTCGCAGTCACGTCCGGTCAGAATGGGGACGTTAAATCCGATGCCTCGTGTGAAGAGAGTGCCACGCTCTTTGCACATTAAGAACCCTTGCAACAACTCTTTGAGGGGTCCGTAGGTGGCCTGTTGCAAGGCAGAATTTCTGTACCTATCCAATATACCCTCATTTTGCAGTGGCAGTCCAAATTTCCCCGACCATCATCCCGGATGCCCTCTATTATGACCAGACCTACCTATTGTATTTAATGTTAACTTGTTCTCGTCCTGAACATGCATGAAATATTTGCCACTGGACGTTAAGCAACCAACAATCAATCAATGTAATCACAGTATAGTTGTCAAATCTTTTAACGTCTTTATATCGTGGAAATTTGAAAATTTTCTCATCTATTTATATAACAGCATTGATATAAAAATGTAATGGAAAAATATCTGACCCATTGACATATACCTTGGTGTTATTATTACCCGTTGATATATAATTATTGACTATGAAAAAGAGACTCATTCCTACGGCACGTCTATGTATTCATTAATATAAAAGGAAACTATACCACGGTATGAAGCTGTCAGAATAAAAATCTAGTGCTAAAGATTCAAAGTTTAGCACTGATAATGTAAATACAGCTTCTATGCTGAACTTTGCATCTAAAACGCTAGACTATTTATCTTCAGCACTAGACCTTTAACATATCTTAAAAAAAACAGCTATTTAGAATCTGTATTTCAACCAAAGGTCTCCTTACAAGCTGCTGTCATAACTACAGACAAGGTAAAATTGACAGTTGAAATGTCTAACAATATACGGAAAGTTTTTAAATTTTGACGGTTGTATGTAAAAGTTTAATTCAACAGAAGATCTCAACATTGTTTCACAATATAACAACCGACACCAGACAATCTCAACATGACATACTTTATAACATATTCAGCGGAATGATATTATATTTGTAAAGAAAAAGAACAAACTTTAATTTTATGTTTATAAGGTTTTAGAAAAATACCAATTTACTGATATACACGTTCATCGTTTATCTCAGTCATTTTGTCAATAACTGACTGTACTGGCCACATTTACTAGCTGGAGAAAAGTCATTCCGATGTCATTTTAAATTATATTGCTCCGTGTTATACACGAGATAAATTCTAATTCAATCAATTATCTATGGCATGACATTCTCCTATTTTACAAAAAACTCATTGATTTTCAGTAAATTGACCAAAAGTCGACCTACCCTGTGTTTAATTGGGATATTTTGAACCAGGATTGCTTAACAGGAAGTGCCAGAATACTTTTTGCCGTCTCAACCACCAGGCGTTTACATGGACCTTATTCGTAGAAGTTAACTTGGCTGAAATCATTATTTAAATCTATTAGACTTCAGTTGTTTTTGTTAGACAATTACTGATATTCCATAATAGAAATCTTGAATAGCATATATACGATTTAGAGAGTAACGGTTGTTGTAGACCTAGAGACATAAAAGTAACCTAACAAGAATACTTCGGGAAGATCTTCTTTGGCTCAATTAGGTAGACCGCTGCCATAAGATCCCGAAATTTAGGATTTGAATCCTTCTTGTACCATCCATGGATTTTCACAACACTGTAATGGACTTTTTTCCTGTGAATTTTGTTTGATTCATCTTACCACGAGCATAGTTTAGTTGACTAAATCTTGATTCTTGCCCGTGGTATAGATTTAAACAGATTTATCTAAATGTCGCTTGAATTAGTGAAAAAAAATATGAATGAAAGATTTTATTGAAATAAATTACACTTTACCGCTTGTCGTTATTTTTTCTGATGTTATTTAAATATAGCACCACAATAAAAAAAATAATTATTAATTGAAATGTTTGCTTTACTTGTAAATTTGCAGTTATTGCATTAAACGGTTACTGCCTCAAGGTGAATCAGGTCGGCATGTTTGTCACAGCATAGAGATTTGGTCTTATCAGTGCAAAGCACTTGAACAATTGAACCTTCAACAGTAGTTCTGCTCTGACAAAAATCTTTATTTTGTTCGTACTTGATTATCTAAGTTAATAATACATTATATTGCTTTAGACTTCTTTGTAATCATAGATTTGTTTGATGTTATACAAAGTTCCCTAGCCAGTCAACACTGAGGTTGTGAGTTCGAACCCCGCTCGTTCACGGGTGAACTCGACTCCAATCTTAATTGACTAGGATTGTCAGTTTTCCTATCGAAGGTCGGTGGTTTCCTCCACTAATAAAAACTGGCCGCCACGAAATAGCCCAAAAGCGGTGCTTAAAAGTGGCGTTAAAACACAAAAAAATCAAATCACTGCACTGACATGTCTTTACATGTCAAATGAAAACATTCTTTGCAGTTTTTGCATTGCACCATAGTTTCCCTCGTGTCCGGGCCACAAGCACACACACAGTACTGAAGAGTAGTAGGTTTGGTCTTATTGCTTACCAAGACATCCTCACCCTTTTTCAATTGGTCCCTACATGTCTCTAACCAAGCAGGAATTTTCCAATCCCAACATGGCTTCAGCCTGTCATAATTAGTATTGAAAACCACCCGTTGGAGTTTCACCATGTAAACATAACCGATAACCTTAACAATAATGGTACCTGGCCCCTTCCATGGTGACCCCAATTTCTTGCATTTACCCTTAATCTTGGCAGTGTCAAGAACATATACAAGATCTCCCGGCTGGTATGATTTCTCTAATACTCTGAGATCATAGTCCCTCTTCATTGATTTCTTGAGAGGTCCTAAGTTTGTCCCGTACTACAATATGTGCACTTTTGATAGCCCTGGTTTCCACTAAAAAAAAATTTTCTTTGTCCACTGGTGAAATGTACATTATCAGACTGAATTTCCTGCAATGGTGCTGAAGTTGCCTGGGGTGAAACGCTTACATGTACATCTTTGTTGACCGAAATTGATGAAAGACTACGTTTAATATATAATAATACATGTAATATACAGATACAAAAATGTTGATGTTCAGATATTATGTTATATTGAATTTTAAATGGTATCAAATTTGAAACCAGTTTTTTTTCAACATAATAGTCACAAAACTGATGCTATCTTGTCACAAACAATGAATTATTTTATCTTAAACAAATAAAAAATATTCAAAAAAAAGGTTGCTCAAAAACTACAGGAAATTATTAAAACCACCTTTAATTCTTTCTTGGGTATATCCTTGACAAGACACCTCATAATTCTTTAAAGATAGCTTTCTATAACATCCATATCCATTTGTTCATCACGTTAAGATAATTTAAAATTCCTCCCATATCTGGATCATGCAATTCATTTGCTAGTTTCTCAGACACTGATTTGTTAAAAGAGGGGCGAAAGATACCAGAGGAACAGTCAAACTCATAAATAGAAAATAAACTGACAACACCATGGCTAAAAATGAAGACAAACAGACAAATAATAGTACACAAGAAACAACATAGAAAACTAAAGATTGAGCAACACGAACCCACCAAAAACTGGGGGTGATTTCAGGTGCTCCAGAAGGGTAAGCAGATCCTGCTCCACGTGTGGCACCCGTCGTGTTGTTCATGTTATTACAAACCCGGTAAATAGTGTAATTCGGTATAAATATGCTCACTTTCGTCTGATGCGAATTAACTAGTATTGTTGATAATGTATTCAGCACTGGACTTTGAAATTGTTCAAATACAAAGTTTTCTTTTTGCACACCACGCGTATTAAAACAACTTTGTTATAGCTGATATAAGGTAGTAATCAAACTGTTGTTATTTTTCTGACATTTGACCGAACCAGACAATCATTTGCTGTTGAATATTAAGCATAGTTGTAAATATCAAGTGCCAACTTATTTATTGGTTTAATTAATATTTAATTCTGATAAATCATACTTTTCTAGCATGGGTAATAAATTATCAAAATGGGTTTTATTATTCATACATTTTTAAACACTATACTATTGATGGCAATAAAACAAATATATAAAATTTACAATAAACACACAAAAGCAACAAAGTTACATTTTTTGTTACCTCCTGTTCCTCTAAACCATCTCTAAGGTTAACATATATCCCAATCACATCAAAGCCATTTTTGTCAAATATTTTCAAGTAA